CGAGGAGTCAGGGAGCCTCTTTGTCCCCAGAGGAACACACGTCTGTGGGAAGGAAGACAGTGGTGAGAGGCTGGCTTGGGGTCCCGCAGCCCCTCACCCTGGGTACGCCCCCATCCTGCCCAGCGTGTGGTGGGGAAGGGGGGCTGCGGGCTGGAGACTGGCATGGCCTCAGGCTGTTACCTGACTTGGGCAGCATGACCGCCATGTCGTCGGTGAGCCCCACGGTGGGGTAGAAGTCCCGGAAGGCCTTCACAGCTTGGGGACTTGGCTCCTGGGTCCGGCCTGGGGCAAAGCATGGCCCCTGTGAGCTCTGTGGCTCGCAGAGGCGAGGGCAGGGGAGACGGGAGGCTCTTCCTCGAGAGTCGACAGCACACCCACCGCCCACGATTGGGCAGGTTGTGCACTGCACAAAAGTGCCTGCCTGGCTGAAGGCCCAGTGGGGACTGGAAGCCACCCAGAGGGGGTGTCCTTTCCTCATTCATTCAAGAGCGTCTGGGAGATTGGGATGGCCCGGCTGTTCCCCAGGGCCACGTCCCCTGGGCCCCACGCCCCTCGGGCTCCCAAAACAAGCCTCCAGCCCTTGCCCCAACCTCTGCACCTTGGGGAACCCTTGGCCTACTCTGCCAAGGTCCCCAGAAATTAAGGCAAAACAGGCTCTCAGCCCCTGCTCAGCTCTCAGGCAGTGGGGCCCCACCCACAGGGAGCCAGAGAGGTGCTCGAGCTTCCTCGGGGGTGCCTGGGCCTCAGAGTCCCCTCGGGCCAACCTCCGCCCATCTGAAGAGCTGTGGGGGCCCCCCACCCCTGCGTGGTCCTTCTCGGCTTGGACTCAAGGGTGATGGATGGGGGGAGGCAGGTCCTGCAGGGGCGGGGCTGGGGAGGCTGCAGGGGTGGGGCCTGGCTGGGGCCCTCACAGTAGAGCTGCACCATGGTGCTGAGCGCCCCCCGCAGCTCCTTGTAGATATAGACCACGGCGAAGGAGTTGTAGTCTGCATCCACGATGCGCACGTCCAGGTAGCCCAGGGCTGCTGGGGACGCAAGGCAACCATCGCAAGTAG